GTGTTACCTTTTAGTCAGACATCAGAACGTCACTCAGTTTTGTTTAGGCTAAGAGAAAAAACATGATAACACACATACACCAACTCTTTGTCTGTTTTAACCTTACAGACTGAAATGATCAGAAAGTATAAAATACAAAACTGAATCTAATATTCAATTAATCAGTTACAAAATTTCTTCAGACTTATTTTTAAAATCTATTTAATCAATTATGTCAACTACTGTAGTTGTTGCAGCACTAATCATGTTTAAAATGAAAGAACATTAACTTGCTTAGTCAGGTGAAGAAAATATAAAGAATATTTGAATCTGAAAAAATAAAACAAAAACTCAAAAAAATAAGTTATTAAAAATAAAAATTTCAAGTTAGAAAATAAATTTTTTTTCAAGTAAAGAACCATTATGCCTCTTGTTTAGCTCCATATTAGCAGTCCAGTGAGAGACCGCTAACAGTTTAATACCTTTTCCAGGTGGAGCGGTTGGAGGTCGTCAACAAACAGTTTGTCAGAGTTATCCTGGTGCCAGGAGCTGACATAGAGTCAGTAAGTAGAACCTCCCTTCATTGCGTGAGATGCTTCTTACTGCAGCAGTGTCATGTAGAAAAGCACTGAGATGGATAGAGAGCGAGTAGATAACCTGTTCTAATCACAGCAGTTTGTTCTGTCAGTGAGTCCTTGAAAAGAGTCTGGATTTGTGGACCACTCCAGATCTATAAATTTTGTCTTGTTCTGACCTGTTAAGCCCCATCTCCATGAGCACAGTTCTACTCTATTCAGTTCAGTTCTGTTTGGTTCTGCTCAGGTGTGCGTGTGTCTCCATGTCAGTGTGTTCCTCACTCTGTGGATGGGATTATGGCTGAGCTCTTCACAGCCAGCCACATCCTTAAACTTCACCTGAATCTTGTCCATCATCTTTGCAGTGGTTTCATGTGTTGTGTTTAAAGGGGCAGTATCATGTAAAATCAACTTTTTTGAGTTTTATATCATGTTATAGTGTTATACTCTCATAAAAAAAACATGCCCAAAGCCTTGCTTTGACTCATTCATGCATGTTTGAGAAATCTGGCAGCGTTTTTAGGAAGCCATGCTGAGGAGCAAAATGACAGATGGGGACCAGAAACACCTCTGGGACGTGTCTTTAAGCCGAGCTTCTTCATGGCAGAGTGCTCCCCCTCCGCCACACACACACACACCGCCCATGACTCATGTAGGCTCTCGGCAGTAACAAAGCAAACTGATTGAAACTGAAACTGTCTGCTGAGCTCCTACTTCTCACTCAGTGACGCTCTTTTCAGATTCAAAATACCTTTGAGGAGATGTATTTTCAGATGCCAAGTAAACTGCATCATAGCGTGTGCGCGAACCCCCAACCCCTCTCTGAAATGGGCGGGACAGAAGCAGAAGGTGGTTCTTAAAGAGACAGAAGCCAATTTCAAGACGTTTAGAAGAGGAAGTGATGAGAATATAAGTTTGTTTTCTATTTAAACATAAAAACAGCATTTTAATAACAACTAAAGATGACATAGATACTTTATTATGGTATAGTATTTAAAAAAATGTCTGAGAAACACATATCGGCCCTTTAAAGAAAAAAATGCCATTGTGGTTTTATCACTGCTTTCACCATGTCATATCGTGCCGCTTACTCGTATTCTAAAACAAAAGCGTCTCTCTCTGCCTTTCCTCTCTCAAATCAATCCCAGAGCTAATCCACGCACAGCATTCTGCTGATGTCAAAATCGTAAAGCCGGGTTCCCACCAAAGGCGTTTTGAGCAGCAAAAATGCACCCAATGTCTCAAGTTGGATGCACTGAAACGCGTTCGGTGTGAACGTAGATGTGCGTCTGAAGAGGGAGGAGCATCTTGGTTTTTTCAGATCTGTCTTTAATGACGGGTGAAATAAAGATAAAATAAAGAAAATGGCTTTGCTTTATTTACTAAAGAGCAAGCGAATGTTGCACACAGCAGATAATTAATTCACCAGATAATTTAGAGGCGGTTTATTCGGTTAGTTTCACCACTCCAGAAGCTGCGAGCTGACAAAATATATATTTTTTGTCCCGAGCTCAGTTTAACACCGCGGTCAGTTTAAGCCGTTGACCCACATCGGTGCTGATATTTCCAGCCAGAACATCAATTGCAGACGGTCAATTTCAACTATAGAGCTGCTCAGGAAACCGTCACATGGAAAAATTATTCTCTCTGATTGGTTGCTGCGGCGCATCGAGCAGCAAAAGTTCAATTTGTTGAACTCGAGCAGCGGCTGCTTTGGACGCTCTGCCGCATCCTACCGCTACCTTGCGTGCCGTGCTAAACTGGCAAAACGTGCCGCGCTGCTCCTAGATGTGTGTCCACCACAGACTTTGCATGTAAACTGGCTGCTCAAAACGCGTCCGGTGTGTACCCAGTTTAAGCGTGCTCTACTCGCTTTTACCAGCTTAGAACCACTGGAGAGGGGGTTCTGAAACAGCGCGGCTGTGGTTGGTTGAGCGTGGTTGGAACCTAATGGAGGCACATTTGGTCGAGGCTAAACTGAGCTGAACTGCATACGAGCACACCAGTGGAGATTCACTGTTTGGCTGCAGAAAAGTGATTTATAAATCCACAATCGCGTGTCAAACAAACACTGTGCCCAGAATCAATCCAACTTAAAAGAAACAAAAACATTTTTCTCAAACTTTAGAATAAAACAGTTTAAACAATATTTTGGGAACTCAATGAACAAAAACGTTAGTCAGAGTGTTGAAAACTGGGACATAAGATTCTGAAGCAGTGGATGCATGTCCTTACATCAGAGTTTCTCTCTTTGTTTCTCAACATGATTTTGTCAACATCAAATTTTATAAATTTCTGACATTTCGACAAATTGATTCAGAATATTATTCTGCCCATATTCTGATTCGGATTGAGCCTTTTGACCTCAAACCGATGGATCTTCTCAAACTGTGAGGCATCAAAAGTCCGTCTTCAAAATAGTATGAGCAGAACTTGCTACACGTCCTTGGTTTCCAGTTTCTCCTCCCCACCACATCCACTCAAATCTTCCACTGTCATGGATCTTTCAGAAAATTTAAAAAAAAAGCTGGCAGCTGACCCTTCACCATTTGTGAACCCAAAAGCCACACAATATCCCATTTCAAGTCCACAAAATTATGTAAAATTATAAACCAAAAGCTGCTTCTACAGGTAATCCAAATGAGGAGCTGAGAGTTGTTGGACACCTGATGTCACACAAGCTCCGCCTCCTGCAGGAGCTCTGAATGGAAACTCAAACTCTGCTTTTTATGCAGTTTATAGAAAATGGCATGTTTTGGTCACATTTAAAACAATATTTAGAAATTTGGTGGATGATCGGTCTGCATATAATATACTATCAAATTCCAGTTATTTGACAAACTAAGTTGCCTTAATTTGACCTTTAACTCAACACAACTTTAGACGCTGTTTAGTTTGTTTTTAAAGCTTTGCTGTTGAATTGTCCTGCGTCGTGCTGTGCTTCAGTTTCACATGTTCCTGTGCTGTGTGACCTTCAGAGTTATGTCTGGTTCAACATTGGCAGCGTGGACACGTTTGAGAGGAACTTGGAGGCTGCCCAAATGGAGCTCGGTGTGGAGCTGTCTCATCGAGCTGCTGTCGTCTACAGCACTGAGAGCGATGGGTGAGTGGCAGAATTACGTTCCTGGTTCCAACTCTGGTCATTGGGGCTTCAAGCTGACATTGTCCTTGAGGACCAGAACAGTGTTGTTTTCGTTAACGATGACGAAATATTTTCATCGACGCCTCCTTTTTTCATGACGATAACGAGACGGTAGCGGAATAAACATAGCTCTTTGATGACTAAGACGTGACGAAACGTGTGTGAGTTTTTGTTGACGAGACTGGACGAAAATGTTATTCTGTGGTCTGTCAATCATTTAGAATTCAGAGTGGAGGGAGGGACAGCATCGCTGTTACACACACGCGCACACACAGCAGCGCAGAACATTTCCTCCCATTCTCTCACAGTCTGCGCCACTTCGCAAAAAATAAAAAATAAATAAAAAATAAATAATAATAAAAAGTCCGTCCGTCACCTGTAGCTTAACCAGGGAGTAATGTCTCTCCATCATTATTAAAAGCTGTCGCAGGTCCATTCTGAGCGCAGAAGCTGTTTGTTTACGTTCATGATGAAAGTAAAACTCTTTTCTGTGGTGTTTTTCTTCTTTGGCCGGGGGGAGTTAGCAACTGCGCACTTCAGTGCTTCCGTTCTGAATAAAAGCCTGGTGCATGTAAACACTTATTAGTTTAATAGTCTACTAACTAAGTTTAGGACTGCATGATGTCCGTTTTTATAAATAAGATGCATCTTCATCGTCCTGGCTGACAAGTTTGAGTTGAACATGTGCGTTCCCCTTTATTGTTTATAATATTGGCCATGTGTATTTTGTATGTTCATTGCACTTCAGCAAATTCTGAGAAATAAAGACACAAAGTGAGAATGTTTTTGTTTTGGGCACTTGTAGAGTAACACAAATTCGCAAATGTTAACACAAATTACTCAAATTATTTTGTAAAGACTAATATGTTGTCTTTTTTTAAGACTAAAACTAAACAATTTTTTAAGCTTTTGTCGACTGAAACTCAACTAAAACCATTAAATATAGAAATACAGTGGGGAGGACAAGTATTTGATACACTGTTGATTTTTCAGGTTTTCCCACTTGCAAAGCTTGTAGATAACTGTAATTTTTATCATAGGTACTCTTCAACTGTGAGTGATGGAATCTAAAACAAAAATCCAGAAAATACAATGTATGATTTTTAAATAATTAATTCCCATTTTATTGTGTGAAATAAGTATTTGATCATCTATCAACCAGTAAGAATTTTGGCTCTCACAGACATGTTACAGTGGTTTGCAAAAGTATTCATACCCCTTGAACTTTTCCATATTTTGTCACATTACAACCACAAACATAAATAT